CTAAAATACGTCCTGGACTGAGAAAAAGCTGAATGGAAAATCATACTCTTCTCCGCCTCTTGTTTCATTCGCCAGTGATGCCAAATTTTTCTCAGCTCCGACCTCACCTCCGCGTTCAGAAGGCAGTACAGTGTTGCCACGAAAAAGCCCTGGTAAAGAGATTTTTTGTTGTTGTTGTCTTTAAGGTTTTTATGAAAATTGAGGGTTGGTTTGTTATATAAGTATATATATAGGTAGGTAGGTTGATAGATTTAAGTGTTGATATAGACATATGTATATATATATAGATAGATAGATAGATAAATATACTGTACTTTTTTATTGCCACGAAAATCAATAGAAATAGGATTTTTTTTGAGTTGCCATAAAAAGTGGTAATGCCATACAGATAGATAAAGATATGAGTATATATATAGACAGACATATCGACAGACAGCTAAATGGACAGATATAATACAATTTTTATTTGCCCGAAGAAAAGAAAAGAAACTCTAGGAATGTAAGAATCTTTTGTTGCCTGTTGTTTGTTTGTTTGTTTTACTGAAAGAAGTGGAGAAAGGGGTAAGAGTGAATGGGAGAGAGACAATAGAGAAAGGGAAGGATGTTTAGAGAGTGTGTCTGTTTTATGAGTGAATGAATGTGTCTGTCTGTTTGTTTGTTTGTTTGTTTGTAAGTGTGTGTGTGTGTGTGCGTGTGTTTTAGAGAGAGAAGTGGGGGAGGTCGAGATGGATAGATATGATAGAGACAGACTGGCAAGCAAACAAACAAACAAGCAGACAAACAATAAAAAAAACTAGAGAAAAACAAAATAATTACAAAACAACAACAACAAGCATAACTTCCCCCCCTACAACTTACACCTACCTACCTAACCTAACCTCAAAAAATAACAATAAATAATAATAATAATAATAATAATAATAATAATAATAGTCGTAGTAGTAGCAGTAGTAGTAATGACAATAATAATAATAAAAATAAACAGAAAACTTCCCTCCATCCTCCCACCCCCCACCCCACCCAAGCTCCCCCTTACCTGGAAAGAGGCGAAAAACTGATCGGTGAAGAGCCAGATGAGTTCAATCGTATGGTTCTTGCCCATGAAGTAAGTGAAGCCGAGGAGAGCCGCATAGTGCACTCCGAAAAGGGGCACCAACACCAGCGTGGATCTCGCCCAGCGTCTGTAGGAGGGGAGGGAGGGGAGGGGAGGGGGTGGTCAGAGAGCGTGGGTGCGTGAGCGAAGCTGTGTTTGGCCTGAGTGTGTGTGAGGGTGTTTGTGTTTGTGTGTGTATGTGTGTGTGTGTGTGTGTGTGTGTGTGTGTGTGTGTGTGTGTGTGTGTGTGTGTGTGTGTGTGTGTGTGTGTGTGTGTATACATACATACATACATATATACACACCAAAACCAGACCCCAATGAAGGAGCGAAGTCACAGCCAAATCCTTCCAAAAGTACCAAAAGTACCAAAGGGCCCGCAACCCGTAGGCACGAGGGCCCACCTGTGCCACGCGCGGACCGAGGTGTGAACAGGAGCCCTCGACGCCAACTACAAACATCCCAATTAGGATTAATGAACGTGAGCCGAAAAGCTTCCTTGTGGAGTCCCTGGCTGGTGCTTTAAGGAAGGGAAGGGACTGTGATCTGAGGACGTTGGTGAGTGGCTGGATTTGGCTGTGAGGTGCTCTGATCTTTTCGATTTTGTCTCTCTCTCTCTCTCTCTCTTTCTCTCTCTCCCTCTCTCTCCCTCTCTCTCTCTCTCCCTCCCTCTCTCTCTCTCTCTCTCTCTCTCTCTCTCTCTCTCTCTCTCTCTCTCTCTCTCTCTCTCTCTCTCTCTCTCTCTCTCTCTATCTCTATCTTGCTGTCTCTGTCTGTCTCTGACTCTCTGTCTTTCTGTCTGTCTGTCTCTGTCTCTCTGTCTTTCTGTCTGTCTGTCTCTGTCTGTCTGTCTTTCTGTGTGTTTGTCTGTCTCTTTGTCTTTCTGTCTGTCTGTCTGTCTCTGTCTCTCTGTCTTCCTCTCTCTCTCTCTTTCTCTCTCTCTCTCTCTCTCTCTCTCTCTCTCTCTCTCTCTCTCTCTCTCTCTCTCTCTCTCTATCTATCTATCTATCTATCTGTCTCTATCTATCTCTCTGACTAATGGTAATGATAATAACTCAGTATCAGTAATGATAACAATACTGAAAACAACAATAATAGAAATAACAATAACAACCCAACGCCCTCCAAACTTTCCCGGATTTCCTCTCTTAAATAATAAATCCCTTTTAGCGATAAATCTCCCTTCCCCCACTTTTCAAAACTAAAACCCCTCCCCCCTTTCTAAAACTAAAATCTCCCTCCCCCCCTTTTATTTTATTTTTTTCTTATTTTTTTTACGTCTCATTTCATAACACTCCTATCACCTATTAGACAGAAAAGACTCACCTATACCTGTACTTTCTGCTTTCAGGTGTCGTGGACGAACGAATCTTCAGCAACAGCTCTCTGGCAATGTTGAGGAACAAAGTGAAGCTAACCTGTTTAGGCGAAAGGGGAGAGAGAGAGAGAAGGGGAAAAGTTAGTGAGGAAATGGTGTTTTTGGGTTAATGGGGTAGCGAGGGACTGGTACTTTCATGGTGGTAGTGATGGGAAGCTAGTGATGGTGGTGGGGGAAGTTAGTGATGGTGGGGGGGGAAGTTAGTGATGGTGGTGGTGGAAGTTAGTGATGGTGGGGGGGGGGTGAACTTAGTGATGGTGGTGGTGGAAATGAGTGGTGGTGGTGGGGGAAGTTAGTGATGGTAGTGGTTGAAGTTGTATGATAGTGATAGTGGAAGTTAATGGTGGTGGCTGATTTGTGAGTGGGTTGAAATATGGTGGTTGGGGTAGTAGTGGTGGAGGTTATTGGTGTTTTTTTTTGTGGTGGTAGCGAGGAATTGGTGTTTTTTTTTTTTTTTTTTTTTTTTTTTTTTTTTTTTTTTTTTTTTTTTACTACTACTACTACTACTACTACTAATAATAATAATAATAATAGTAATAATAATGACAGTGATGGCAATGATAATAATGATAATATTAATGATAACAGAATTAATGATAACAGAAATGATAACGACAGCAGCAAATGAATCATATTATTGACCTTAAGAACAACAGTGATCATAGCAATAGCAATAATATACAGAGAGCAATAACAACTTGAAGACCAAATATTACAATCTTAGGAAAGAAGGAAAGATGGTGCTTCATTACTGATATTGCACCGTTGATATTGCAGTAACGGGGATGGAGAGGAGGGAAGGAAATATGTAAAGAGAAATCTGCATGTTAGTGTCTGAAGGTGATAATTATTGATAAATGATGATAATGTTGATAATAATATTAATGAGGGTTAATGAAGATAATGTTGATAATAATATTGATGATGGTTAATGAAGATAATCTTGATAATAATGATAATGATGATATAAGTGAATGTGATATTGATGATAATGATAATAAGTGAATATACTGTTGATAATAATAAGAATAATGATAATATTGAGAATGTTAGTAATGATAACAGGCAAAAGAATGCCGAAAATTACCACCAATTATCGAAACCACAACAGACAAAGTTTCCCCACCCCACTCCAATCACCCCCCCCTTAAGAAATGAGCCCACGAGGAGGCGGTAATTAATCGAGCCTATTAATGAGAGATTAAAACTAATCAGGTATAAGTTCCTCATACGAATGAGGGTCGGAGAGTGAGTGAGAGGGGGAAGGAGAGAAGGAGAGAGAGAGGAGAGGAGGGAGGGAGAAGGGGGAGGGAGGGAGAGAGGAGGAGAGAAAGGGAAGGAGGGAGGGAGAGGAGGAAGCGAGAGGGAAGGAGAGAAAGAAGGAGAGAGGGAAGGAGGGCGGGAAGTAGAGAGAGGGAGAGGGAGAGAAAGTGAGAGAGAGAGAAAGAGAGAGAGTGTGTGTGTGCGTGTGTGTGTGTGTGCGAGTGTGCGTGTGTGTGTATGTACATACAAACACATCTACTCACTTTTCACTCCGGATAAAACAGCACAAAACAAACAAACAAACACACAAAACAGAGAAACATATCATAGGCAAGGATACAAACACAACACAGATTCTCTTGTCAACAACAACACAAAAAAATATATAAAGGACTGCCTCTGAAAATCCAAAAAGACATTTCGCGAAACGGAAAATTACTCAGGAGGAAGAGGAGAAAAATGAAATAGAAAAAAAGGATAAAAATATGACAAGAATAAACAAAAAGATTGCCCAAGAATGGAACAATACCCTGGGAGAGAAAAGGACAAGGTAAAGAGAAACGGAGATAGAGGATAGAGAGAGAGAAAGAGAGAGAGAGAGAGAGAGAGAGAGAGAGAGAGAGAGAGAGAGAGAGAGAGAGAGAGAAGAGAGAGAGAGAGAGAGAGAGAGAGAGAGAGAGAGAGAGAGAGAGAGAGAGAAAGGGGACACAAAGAAGAAGAGGGACAAAGAAGCGTAATTAAAACAAAAAACAAAACAAAAATAAATAAAGAAGAAAAGAAAAGAAACAAGAAACTAGGCAACACACTAACATGACTCAAAAAACAAAAGACTCTCTTTTTATATGCATACGTGTGTTTATATATGCAGCATATGTATCTGTATTTGTATATGCATAAATATATATACATGTACAGTATATGTATATGTATATGTATATGTTTATGTATATGTATATATATATATATATATATATATATATATATATATATATATATATATATATATATATATATGTGTGTGTATGTGTACAGTATTTGTATATGAATATGTATATGTATATATACACGTATAGTATTTGCATATGAAATTGTATATGTATATGTATATATGTAAGTATATAAGTCTACAGTATATGTATTGCTATATGTAAATATTATATATATGTGTGTGTAATGTATATGGATAAATATATTCATATATTCATACAGATAGATATACTGATATAAATACAATATACATAAATATATGCAAGTATAAAATCAGGA